TTGAACTTCTCCACACAGTGATCCATTAGGCGAGAATTGATGTCCTCACCACCCAGGTGCGAGTCACCACCAACCGCCTTCACCTCAAATTTGCCATTCTCCATGGACAGGATGGATACGTCGAAGGTGCCACCCCCCCAATCGAAGATGAGCACATTGCGCTGCCCATTGCTCTTCTTGCTTATGCCGTATGCAATTGCAGCCGCTGTTGGCTCATTGATGAGACGCAGCACATTTAAACCAGCTATTTTCGCTGCGTCAATCGTGGCCTGTCTTTGGCCCATGTTGAAGTAGGCTGGCACAGTGATCACTGCATCTGTGACCTCCTCGCCCAAGTAAGTCTCCGCCGTCTCCTTCATCTTCGACAGCACCATGGCCGAGATCTCCTCCGCGACAAACTGCTTTGCTTCACCACAGTAGTTTATTTCAATTTTTGGCTTTTCTTCCGAATTTATAACTTTGAAGGGCCAGTGCTTCATATCACTCTGCACTGTCTCCTCGTTAAAACGGCGCCTGATCAGGCGCTTTACACCGAACACCGTATTGGCGGGGTTCATAGCAGCCTGGTTTATTGCGGCTTCACCAATGAGGCGTTCCTTATCTGTGAAGGCCAAACAACTCGGCGTTATGCGGTTGCCCTGATCGTCGGCTATGATTTCCACCGTATCGCTTTGGAACACACCGACACAAGAGAATGTTGTGCCCAAGTCAATGCCAATTGCAGCACGTGTCGACATGGCTTCGTGTGGTGCACAAATTCTAACGCGTTTTGTTGAATAAGGATGACCACCACAATTGCTGCAACCCTTTATATCAACTGCAGTGATCCTGCTGAACCTTTCAGCGATGCGCGCTAAGTGCTTGAATTCGTTTATCCAACGAGGAGCTGCCACTGTTCCATGCTTCTCCTAATTTAGTAGCGACTGTGCGCTTGAAAGCGGTGACGCACAATGCTGGCTCCAGCTAGCACACACCTGTCAGTATGCGCTGACTTGAGTAGTGGTGTCGTCTCCGTGTTGACGAGTTGGTGGCAGAAAAGCAGTAATGAAGAAGTGTCAAAATAGCGACTTAGAAGTGGTAATATCCTGAGGGCTAATAGGTCTAAGTGATGCGATAGGAGCGTATTGCCACAGTGTAGCCACCC